TTGGGTATATTATGAGTTAATCTGATGATGACTTCCATTTTGTGTACAGTTCTCTTCCACATAGTTGCAAATGTTTTGTGATTTTGACGCATACTGAGCTGGTTAAGTAGCTGTTGTTACCTGTTTTATATGGTACAGTTCTAAGAAACTTCAACACTTTATTTTTGAATAAAATTGCTCAGTTAAATGAAAACAGCCAGGATTTACAGGAAAAAAAAATATTATGCTGCAGCTGTATTATGTGCAGAAACCACAAACATTTTTGCAATGTAGCTTTTTATCAAGCATTAATCCTCATAGCCGTAAAAAATGAACTAGGATCCAGGGCTTTTTAGGCTGTGCTTCGGCTGAATGTTACTTGCAAATATTAACTAGTAATAAGATTACAAGCTAGTAAAAAACTAGCTTGAGAAAGTTATCACTTATTTGAGTCTCTACTCTGCTTGTTTCTGGAATCTTAACTGGCAGTGGGATTTCACAGATGGAGAGTATGACTGAGTTGCTACCACTTAATTTCAATAGATAAAAAATGATAATCATTTCTTAAAAAGAATAATAATAAAAAAGAAAGAAAAAAGGAAGCCTACCCAAGCAAAACTAAAAGTAAATTAAAAGCAAATCTTGAAAAGCCTTCTGACCCCCAGATTTACTGTGCTACTGAGAACAGTCATAACAGGGGACTGTGCTGCCTTCATACATGTTGACAAATAGGAAATCATTAGAATATTGTAGCTAGCAGAATTGCTGGTAAATGCTCTTTGTATGGAGATTCAATCCGAAAACCAGTCCTCAATGCAGTATCTAACGTGATTTTTGCTTATATTGAACAGACCTGTAAAAGCATCTTCCTAAAGGTCGAGTCAGGGAGTTTGTTCAGCACAGAATTATAATAGCACTGGATGCAGTCTGATCCTGTATAGCCTGGAGAACATACAGCAGCTATTTGTGCTTGGGTACATTAGGGTATGAATAATCACACTGATTCACTGAGGCTAATTGCGACATAAGGTACTATTCAAAGTCAATTGCAGTATTGCCCAATATGGTCATAGTTAACTGATGCCTAACTATAAATGCATAATATTCAAGATAAATCAGGTAGCCTCATGAGAAAGGCATAAAGCAAAGAAATAAATGTTCCCGTATTGATTCTTACACTATTAGCAAGGGAGATGCTCTCTATATAGGTTTCTATATATAGAACATGGAAATGGAGTCAAGTGGAGTCAGACAAATGCAGGAGGAAAAGTCCTTTAAATGAGTACTGTTTTTCTCATCTTGTAAAATTACATGTTGATTTTTCAACAGTCTCTTAAGTCACATGAGAAAAATCAAAGTGAAATTGCACTGACAAAGCTATTGTTTTTTTGTTTTTTTGTTTTTTTTACCAGTGCATTGTGTATAGCTTTGAGATTATACCCATTTTTGTTGTGCATGCAGCATTATCACTAGAAACAGATTTTTTAAGGAAAGCAGTATTTTGAAATGTTTCCACTGTTGGCTGGCTTGACCTATAAAAGTTCACGGTTTCAAAACAAATCATGCATCTTAAAAGAAACTTGGGCTCCAGAAAGCTGTGATGATTGAAAAAGATACTGCACCAGCTGTTTGCTGCTGTGCTCCAGCTCTGCTAGAGAACATGCCTCATTCTGCTAGAGGGAATTATTTAAACCATGAAAGAGGATATTTTTAGTTATCTGTCTCGTTCTGTCAGGAACAAATTAGGAGGTGCTTATTTGCGCTTCTGTCAATAGAATTGTGAATGCTCCAGTATCCAGTAGATCAGTAAGACAAGTCCCACCTTCAGCCACTATGCTTGGTGCAGAAGAGGACAATTGTCGAGGATTAAGTTCCAGTTTCACCTTCCCATGAAGTAAATATTTTTTAAAAATGGCAATATGACACAGTTTGGGATTTAGTAGCGTTTAACATTATTGTCTTGGCTGCTAAAATCTAGACTGAAGAGTCAGCATTTTGAGTTTTTCTTTGTGAGGTGTTTCTAAAAGATTTTTCACAAGGCAATTATCTAGAATGATTCCTAATCCATAAAACAGAGACCTACTGATTTGATTTAGCACATGAACAACAGTCATTTTTAAATAATAGAAGAAAATCCATTAAATAAAAAGTGTTTTTACATAGGTTTGCAGGATATCATTGGCCATATGCAGGGTCCGTGACATGGTGAACACGAAGGTCGAAAGCCAAAGTACAAGCATTAAGCATATTAGATTCTTACTTAACACTTTAACATAATGGAGAACCTAAGTCAGCTTTAAGTCGCTGTATAGTATCTAGAAGATTTATTAAAAAGGTAATACAAATTCATTCCAGCCAAGGAGGTAAATAGATATATCTCAGAACACATAAGGATATTTGTTACCCAAGAAAGCCTGGATTTCCTGATCTCGACTAATCCGTTATTACCATGACTTGGCTTCTAGTTGTGACAGTGTCAAATGAATGTGGTGTACGCATACAAGAAAACGACAAAGAATAGCATAATGACAAAGAAGCATGCTCTTCTGGGAATACCGCTGCCATCATTCTATTAATTTATGCATAAAAACTTTATAAAGGAACAACATGTAATTCAGTGGGCTTTACATTGAAATTCAGTGTTTCTTTGGGCAGCCTGACTTAACCTGTTGTAAATTTTGCCCTGTGGAAAACAGCAGCAAGTTCTTTAAACTATCAAGTTTTCAGACAAATCTTCTGATCTGTATCTTTATGTATATCTCTATCTATATCTATATATTCTCCATTCTGTCATTCCTAACAAATGTAGTGGATGAGTGGTGTTGTCTAAGGATATAACCAAGCCTTAAGTTCCTCTCACCTAAACAAACCTTGCTTCAGTATATATGATATAGTAGCTGTTTCTTTTTTTTTATTCGTTACTTGAGAAATATGGTCAGACCAATTATATTTTGAAAGCGAATGTTTTTGTTATCTAAATCAGAACTCTTGGAGAGAAGCCACACCAAATGAGAACCTGGTAATATGCCATGATTTCACCATGCAGAGAAAGAGAGCTTGTGCAGCTCCATTAAATACATGCCTCCCATATGGCTGTTGCTATAGCTGTACCAAAATCAACCAGTAATATTATAATTTTCTTGCCATCTTTCTTAGAAAAATCTATGTATGTCAAATATCAGGGTAGATTTAATCTTTTCTTTTTTAGGTCTGTTGTGTAATTCAAGTTACTTTTATTAAAAAGCACTTAGAAAATGATGAGTAAATTAACCTAGGTACTTATAAATTCTTATAATAAATAAAAAAAAATGTTGTTCAGGGCACGACCTAAATCCGGTTCTCCTTTTTTCCCTGACTTTTGTTGTCAGTTTTACCTGGGCATAAGGGATGATCAAAGCGTTGTAGTGGCAGTTCACCCATCTTCTATGTATATTTTACATTGGTCTAAATTGCAGCATGCTGACCCAGACATTTATTTTACTCTTTCTCTCCTGAGCATTTCCAGAATCCCTGCAGCCTTGCAATTTTGACTTCCTTTTATTTTTCTTGGTTGTCACGCTTTCCTGTGCTTCCTGCGCCTTAATCCATGTAAGGATTCACAAGGTTCTCTATGTGCTCAACAGCAGGTCATTAACTGCATGGAAATCATCCAGAATGAGCAGGATTCTGAAAAGCTTCCTGTGCCTCCTATCTTAGCAAGTGATCTGCACCACTTTTTTTCTGTGTATGCACTTCAGACCAAAGCACTAGAGAAACTGCAATATGTAGTGTTGCTTTGCAGGAGACTGAGACTGATACCTGGCTAGATTAGGACCTTCAGAAAAGCTTCAGAGCATTAACCATGCAAAACAAGCAAAATGGCTCTTTTTTTAAACTGCTGTCTGGAAAAGAAATAAGTTGGAAAACATTTCAATATAACAAAGTCTTAAAATAAATTATTTGACCCTACAAGCCCTCTGGATGTGGTTGAGCTTTAACTTTATAGGCTCAATTTTGTAGTTTAAGTGCAAGATTCTTCTATTAATAATGTCCACTAAGATAATCTATATGCCACTGTATGAAGCTGCAAAGGATTTTTAGAAGAATTGATTTGTAATTTAAATTGTTTGATCTACTTGAGTTTTGATGAGGAGTACCTCAAACTTGCATGTATGATATAACAGTGTGGGACAGTATCACGTAAAGAGGAATCTTGCACCTCTAACGGACTGGAGTCTGCTTCTGGCAGGCCTAGTGAAAATGAAACATGAGACCTCACGGATAGAGTTTAGTCTTTCAGTTCTTCTCTTTCAAAATGTTAATTGACTTGGCATCTCTACATTGGGAGAAATCCTATGCCTTCTGAATTCCTTGCATGCAAACTCTGCTACAATTTAGTAAGATGAAATGCATCGTTACTGCTTTTTTTCTGTATCAGTCTTAATGGACTGAAGTCTCCGAACACAACCTGATAGGATGAGATCGCAATAGAGTCACTTACTAGATTTGTTTCACTTTCCCTATGAACTGTAGCATTTTCTTCCTACGAGCTCACTGAAGACACTTGAACTCATGAAGCTGGGGGAAGGGTTAAATATGAGGAAGCCAGCTGTGGGATGTTTTCTGTAGAGTACATAAAACTGCTTGCAGGTTTGATTTAATATTTTCTAGTAAAAGATGCTATGGATAGCAGGAAGTCATCAGCATGCTTTTATGGGGCTCTATTTCTGTCTTTTTAAGTTTACTATTGAAATTCAACTAGACTAACGAGGAGTATTAATTGGAAACACCAGGTAATAAAGGAGAGGCAGCCACAGCACGTTAACAGGCGGCTCAGGCTGAACATGGCTCTGATAAAACACGAGCGTTGAAGACACCAGTGCCTCCCCTGCTTGCCCAGCGCTTCTCCACTTTGCCTGGACATTGGGCAAGTTCATGGCAATGAGGCAGGTCCAAGGCCAAACCAGGAGTTCAACCTGCATATGGGGATGGGGTGTCCGGCAAGGGCAACCTGCATCAGACACATCCCACAACTGGTCAACATGGATGAAGCCAGGCTGGAAACCAGCCCGCAGACCAGCAGTGCTGACCTTACATGGGCTCCTCAACCTCTGGCAGAGCAGGTGGGGAGGCCCCAGGTGAGGCTCCTCAGGGCTTTTAGGCCCACATGTGCACCTGAGACAGCTGCTTTGATGGGTCACCAAATATATCTTAGCTGTGATGATACCTCAAGCTCCTTATCCTCATGTTGCTGAAGCAGCAAAGGAAGGACTGAGTAGACCTGATGGTGACCAGAGCAGTATTGGCCCCATGAGCTGCCTACTGCTTTTCTGCTACAGCACTTTACTGGAGAAAGCACCCAGCGGGTGACATGTGCTGGAAGAAACCAACTAGATGATTCTGCTTTTCATGTAGAAACAGCCAAAAAATCAGAAGGAGAAGTAACTACTTCTGCGTTTGTATCTACTTCTGCATTTGTGATACAGTTGCCCTGTTCCTGGAGAGGGCTTTCGGGGTGCTGTGGGCCCCTCAGCCCTGTCTGGGGCATTTGGCCCTGTGCCTTACGCCAGATTTTCCTCGTTATCACATGATTCCTACCGGGA